GGGGGGGGGGGGGGGGGGGGGGAAGAATCTTGATCTATGCTCCTTAATCAGCCAAAGAACAATAAAGAATGTACTCATTATACTTAAAACACTCTAATCATTGACCCTTTATTTATTTAGAGAAGTGATAAGATTTCACGTTATACAAATATTTATTGTCTTATCGACTACAAATTGGACAACATACAATATCCCAATCACCGCAGTTTCAACAACTCCTGGAACTACTGCAAATTCCTAATCCTCCACGGCCATACCAAACTGCACATACCAAGAGAAAACAAAAGGCATCCATTTCCACAATAGTATCATACAACTAGGAGAGCTCCTCTAAGGCAACATTGCTACCCTAATGCCATGTTTAAACCTTCCCTTATTTCCTTTACTCTTGAGAATCGGCCTTGTTATTAATTACGCACCTCTAGTATTCCACTCCATAATAACATAAATGTTTCGAGTCCGCAATCCTCTCACCAATCTCATTAATCTAATAATTGATTGACTAGAAAGACAAAAGAAGCAAATATAGAGGTATATTTTCCAGAAGAGACTAGCTAGAAAAGATGTCAAAAAATTATCAATATGGTTCAATCACCAGGAAAATACATCAAGAACAGAAGACCTGTTAGACAGAAAATCCTCATAATATTGGATCCATTTCCCTTCGTCCTCGAAATAATAAATCACCAAGAGTAGGGAGTGGTAATGCATTTTGATGTTAACTTATCATCAACTATATCAGAACAAATTGTGAACTGCTAGTTTATAGGTATTATTTTTGTAAGAGAACCATTTTGAATCTAAAAACTATTTCATTTTAAACAGGAGGCCACAGAACCAACTCAATTTTGTTGCTGATAGCACAAAACGACAAAAGTGACCATCCCTCATTGCTATGACCATATTGCTTGTGCAACGGAGTACACAGATTGCTCAACAAGTCAACAGAATCAATGCTTAACTATCATGCTGTTAAATTTCTAACATCCGAAGTTATTCAATAGTTAATCAGCATATCAGTAAAGAAAATATCCATTACAAAATCCATAGAGTGATACCTAAAAAATAAAAAACAAAAAGGAAAAAAAAAAAAAAAAACACTTCTCTATGATACTCAGAATATGCAAGCCTGATTTTTCGTCGTGCATCACTCTACCAAAAGAGATCCATTAATGTTTTCAAAGCGATTTCATTTTTCTGGTAATTGATTGGGAGTCGGAAGTCGGGACACTACAGATCACTTTTGTAGTATGGATCATGAATTGATGACATGCATTAGCGCTATCATTTATTGTTTCAACTGAAATTCCATGTACAAGTGCATCTATAAATGTTCATGCATTACAAGTAGAGAATGAGGAATAAAAACCACTTTTTGTCAGGATTTTGACGACAAATATAATAAAATAAAAATAAACTAGATCAGATTACTTTTTTTGGAAATATAATGCATAAATTGCAAAAGCAGAATGAAGCAAATAGGACTAAAACATTCAAGTGCTTTTTCAACGACCAATTAGTATCACTAAAAGAAAAATAGGATGAGATTGTGTACCAATCCAGCACTCCATTCGGGCAAATGGTGATATCTTTATTATATTGGGTAGATCAATGCTATTGTTTAAGCACAAAACAAGAGCAACACATACCGTTTTCATCTGCAACAAATATTGGAAAATAACACTGAGAAGAACATAAAAAAACTGTATATCTTATCTGACAATTTCGATAGGAACATTGGCCAACAAGAATTAGAATATAGCCAGCTAGGACAATAGTTAAAAAGAATAGCACCAAAGGAAGAAAGTCATAAAGTACATAAAATTTGTCAGACCGTCCCATAAATTGAGAAACAACTACAAGTTTACTCAAAATGAAAGACTAGGAGATAGAGTTTAGGTTAATCTATATTTTCGCAGTTGGAGTTCGTTATTATTTTGATATTAATTTTTACAAGTTTTCTTAGATTGAAAGGCCTTTCTCTATGTAGCTGGGCTGAGTTTTCATTTGAATAGAATGATATTCTTCCACTAAAAATGCTCTCTTCTAAGTCTTCTCATCTTTCTCGTCTCTCTTTCTCTTTAATCGTTCATGGTCAAATTTTTATGTTCGTCCTCAATAGACAACAATCAAAAATTGATTCGCATAGGCTTTGTTGATATTTTAAAATCAATTTGAAGAGGATCTGTCAACAATGATTATTGTTCATCAACAATGGGTATTCGGTAATGGCATTATACCTATCTGAAAAATTAATTTAGTTACAAGAATCTACTATGCTGCAAGAAACAATGTTCTCATCAACCAGAAATAATATCTTCCATGTTGATTAACCAACTACTTATTAAGAAAACAGTGAATTGTCATTGCAATTCATGTTCATGATAAACTAGGACTGTTGCTATTACAACCTGTACAATCGCCATGCTATTAATGACCTTCAATTTGATACAGCACTAAGTATCATGATCGCAAATTGTTTCCTAGCACGCAGGATCTGGAGAATCAACGCTATGACTAATAATCTTTTCCACCTTAACTTTCACATTAGTACCTTCTATGATATACCGGCCAACAAGCCTGAAGTTAGACAAGCGAATGCTGCACCGTTGTCTGAACATGATAGCATTCCAAGTTACAAATATGGCCACCTAACTCACACTTTTTTCAAGCCACAATCAATGTTGTAAGGGTTACAAACATTACAGTCAAGTTTACAACCTCAATGGCGTAATTTCTCTGCTGAAATTATGGATAAAATCCATCTAGCAATGTTATAGTACTATCAGTCAATGTTATTACTTATCAAAATGACAAAAAGCATACCTTTTCAGAACCAGAAACTGATTTAACTCATGAGCAAATTCACTAAAATGCTTCATCTATTTCCAACATTTATACAAGTCTCGGAAATACACAGTCCTATATTTAAAAACTAAAAATGCAAAAGATACACATTGGCAAACAGAGTAGAGTGACAATGGAGAGAAGGCGCTTACTCGATCCCGTGGCCACCATTTAGCGATCAGTCCACTGTTAGACGGACCAGAGGACACCATTTCTTCAAACCCATCATGCCGGAGCTCACACAACACTAAAGTTCGTGGCAAGTACGCCATGCTAGAAGAGGTGGTAATAGCTGCTGCAGCGTAGCTACTGCTAGCAGACTCCGGAAAGTCCCGAATATTACTACTATTATTAAGGCTGTTGCTGCTGCTCATAATCCTCATATCATCGCCATTCACGTGGTTCCCGCTCGAGGCGAGTCCCTCCAAGTGGTTGAACAATATCGATGATACCGGAAACCGCAATGCAGCCATCAAATCACCCAAATCGAACTGGTTTTGTTGGGAACTCATAACAGGATGGCTAATTAAACATTTGTGTAGTTGGACGTGATTAAATTGAGAAAGACAGCGGCTTTCTCAACTTAGTGAACCAGTGTAAAGAGAGAGTGTCCAGAGACTGAGTAATTTAGGGTGGAGTAGGCAGATGTAAATCAACCAAGGCAGCGAAGGAGCAGCATAAGGAGATGAGAAATAGAGGAAGAGAAAAATCAGCTCTATAATCCTTGAAAGCGGTACCGCTCGCCGTCGTGCCAGCGGAGTCGATGGAGGCGAAGATATATGTATCAGTAGAGAGACACACGGACAGAGATGCAGTGTGGCTGCTGGAGCAAATTAGTGTATATTTTATTGAAAATAGAACCTCTATTTATAGGTTACAATCCTGTTTTAAGGGTAGAATGGTCATTTACAAATAACTATTTACTTATAATAAAATTTGGTTTTTATAGCAAAATTTTGAACGATAAATTTTTTCTTTTTTCAAATATTTATAATTTTATTTGGAATTAAATTGAAGGAATTAGTTTGATATAATTTTAGTGCGACTCAATTAATTACAAATAAAAATACAACTTATATATATATATATTAGAAAATATGAAATATGAATAAATTTGTTATACATTTTTCTTTATTTAGTTGTATATCGGCCCAACATGAAAGATGAACCAGAAAATCATGCTTTTATTCTAATAAATCATAGTAGAAAATTTTGAATTTCAAATTTTATATTGACAAAAATCTTGAATTGTGAGCTGTAAATAGCTCACGCGTTTGGTGAAAACCAACCCAAAAAGTTAATTTTGAAAAAATTGGTGGGCCATGATTCACGAGTCTTAACGTATTCTAGTGAGCTTCTTGTAACCGAAAGTCCAGACTGATATCCATAGAGAAATGCCAATCTCGTTGATATCTTGTCGGCATTGGACCTACTAAACTAATTTGCGAAGAGATCAATGCAATTAATTTTTGTAGAGTGCTAATATGACATGATGGAGTCGTGAATAGTTTTGCTATGTGTTGATACAATCTAATATGGCATTTTTTTAAAACTTCTTCAAACTATCACAATTTTGACATGCTTAAATAACTTTTTGATGCACAAAATTTTATTTTATGTCACATTAGCACTTCCTTATTAGTTAACTGACATATATGGTAAATTTCCTTATTTTAATTAATAAACAATGGAGTAACTAAAATTGAAATAAATTATAAAGTTATGGTTTGTTATAACAAAGCTTCTGATTAAAATAAAAAATAAAAAAAGGTCCTTTCATCCTTTTATTTTGTTTTCATCCTTTTATTTTTGAATAAAATGTTGAAGAAAAAATTGAACTTCAAACTTTTGTGATGGAAAAAGATATTGAATTAAGAGC